ACCTGCACCCCTCTGGTTACAGGGCGCGCTCTTAGCTTCTCTGCCACCAGAACAATGGAAGAGAGCAGGGTCCAGCCGAGTTCAGAAACCCAAAAGCAGCTAAAAACCAGATGGATTCTCTCTGACCGGCATTTAGTGAAACCTCAAACTAAACCGGGTCAGAACAGAACCACATCTGTATCCCACTCTACTTGCTGCACACACACACACACACACACACACACACACACACACACACACACACACACACACACACACACAAACCTGTGACGTCACAGAGGTGGATCAGGTGCCGACCTAAAGCCGGATCACGCGACTCTAAACGAACCAGAACAAAGTGCCCGTGAGGTTCGGGTGACCCCGAACTAAGTTTCTTACTTCTTCGGCTCTCCTCGTACATCTCCGCTCCTCAGCTCCTCCGACCCGCGATCATCTTCAGTTTTCTGCCAGGAAAATCCTCATCAGCTCCTCGCGCCGCAGCCAATCACCTCACGCGCTCATCGATTAACTGATCGAAATCCCAGCAGCATCAGGTGTGAGGACCAGGATCCAGATCCGGGCGGGTTCAGCCTCACTAATCCCCCAGTCCGGGTCTCTCTGCCTCCTCGTCCCACTCTTCTTCCCAATTGAGGATTAAACTGAAAAAAGCTCGCTGGCGCGTGCGTGTGCGCGCGTGAGCCGGGCACGAATTAAAGGCGCAGAGAGTAAAAGGCAGAAGGCAGTGATGAGGATTAATGTGGCTGTGAGCTGAGACCCTGCAGGGTTGGTAAGGTTCGGTTCTGGCAGGATTCGGTTGGTCCAGCAGGAACTAAAGAGGCTGATGGTTTCGTCCAGACCATAAAATAAAACTCCAAATGGAAAACACACGAGGAAGAGATGCAGAAGTTTAAACCAATTGTAAATCATTCATTTCAGCTAAGTTTCACTAATAGCCTGTGACGTCACTGAGGTAGATCATCTGTATGGTACTAAGTTGTAACACCTGCAACTAACTTTATGGCAAGCTAAAACATCACTAAGTTTGACACCAAGTCTACAATACAGATTAACACGTAATTAAAGAGCAAGTCACCCCCTACCAGAGTATTACTCCACTCCCACTTCCTGTTTGAAAAATGCGTCAAATGCTGTTGCCTAGCAGACAGAGAGGGCGGAGCCGCTAACAAACACACACACACAGGCTCACAACATTGTGACATCATAACGTACCAGCTGACATCACAGTGTACCTCTTAGCCAACAGCGATAGCAGATTTAAAGAGCAAGTCACCCCCAAATCAACTTTTTTTTGCTGATAATCTATATAAATGCGTGTCTAATCGTGCTGCAGACACATGTGGTCAATAATTTGGCACTTCAGTGCATTTTAGTTCAAATTTAAATATTCTGCCTAAAACTGTCAGTGTTGCGCCGTCGTCAGGTAAAAACTCTGCACTGCATTGGAATTTAAATCTACCATCGCTATTGGCTAAGAGGTATGCTATGATGTAAACTGGTATATTATGACATCACAATGCCGTTGTGAGCCTCGCCTCCATCAGTGGCTCATCCCCATCAGTGTGTGAATGCGTGGATGACTGTGCTGTAAACAAGCCCCCACAATGCGCGTGAAAAATTGAAGCAAACACGCAAATGAAATAAATTGCAGTTCCACCCTCATCCACTAGGGGCTGGTGTCAGAAGCGAGCAAATCCTCATTGACTCCCATGTTAAAAATACCAATTTCACAGCAGAAATAAACATGTTTACAGCCTGGTACCAAAACATGTTTTAGGTTTAAATGATCTAGTTTACACTCATGACAACTCTGAGGGGGGTGAATTTTTTTCTCACTCTTCTGTTTAAGTGTATTAAAAGCCTAAAATTCTGTATAATTAATGAGCATCAGACCCACGTGACCACAGAGCTAGCTCCGGGGAAAGGCCTCAGTAGAGCCTCGGTCTGGCTTGGAAACTGCTCCGTCAGTTTCAGTCTCTCAACTTAGACCATTAGTTGTAGCGTTTGTGTGTTCTTGTTTGGATATTATTTGTACAATTGTTGGACAAAATGACTTGCTGTGGCATTAATTGCACTAATAGGGCGTCCAAGGAGTCTCCACTTCATTTTTTTCGGTAAGTAAAATTATATTTATGTATTTTAGGTCACTGCCGAGCTGAGCTTAGATTTTAACATGTACTGTTTAACCATGAAATTTAAATGTAAAAGGGTAAAACCCAGTGCATTTAACATAATGCTGCACTTTAGAAAATGGGTTGAAATATAACATGTTGGTGGAGCTGGGTTCCGACTATCGGCTTGTGGAGCTCTCGGAGACCTCTGTGTTCCACCCGGTTTTACCCAGCGGTCAGCCCGGCGTATCTCTGACTCAGAAGCTCTGGTGTTGTGCACAGTTAACTCCGATTGTAGCTAGGTTGCTACCTCCGTTAGCTTAGCTCCCACCTCCGCCTTAGCGTTGGGTTAGCTTCAGGTTAGCTTGTAGCTAGTTCGACCGGGTGTCGTCAGTTGATCCCAGCCTTACAGCCCCACCCTCAGCTCCACCTCTCTTCCCTTTTGTGGAATTGTCTGGGCTTGACGGAACCTGTGACACGGCCAAAATGGCGGTGGTGGCCACCTCCCATTTTTCTTCAAAAACGTGTTATTGGAGCCTATGGAAACCCATTGTCCAATATTTATTTGGCAATGGTTGTAAAGCACCTTGGGGGGCGTTATATCAAAAACAGGCCATTTACTCTTTTACATGGGAAGTTCCTCGTTAGTAACTTTGGTTACTTCCTGGCTGGCCAAAGCTACTCTGACCCATCATGTAACACGTCCGTGACTCCGTGAGTTTAACACATTTTGCTGCGTATACCAGAAGGTTTGTTTATTTTTATATACTTTTTTGCCCTGTTTTTTACAATTTTTTTCTCCTCCATTCTTGCACCTTTGCGGGTTTATCCAGTTCCACTAACTTCTCTCTGCTCAGTTCAAACGGCGAAACACGTGATCAGGTGAAATGATAAAGGTCGAGACACGATGAGAGATTTCTGCCATTTAGAGACCAAGTTCGCTTGTTTTTTAAACACATGCTGTGGTCTAGGTAAACGAATGCCTTGTGAGTTGATCTCTGTGGGGAAGAAAGCTCACACGTGTCTGCTTCAGGAACTAGAAGTTAGCCAGAGCAGAGCTCATCTTACTTCCTGATATTCGGACATCTCGCCTCTGATTGGCTAACAGCAACGTGACTCTACCACCGACTGTTTGCTTCTCAACGTTGATCTTTTACCTCCATGAATAACACAATTCTGAAGGATTTCTGCCATGTGGTGGAGTTGCTAATGCTAATGGTTAGCTTTTACTAGCCAAGATGTTCTCTGCTGTTTCCTGGATGCTACACCAACAGCCTTCCCTGTCTGAGCTAAGATGGGTGGGGTCATAAACGCTAATTTTACAATGTGACTTATCTAATCTTAGACTTTCCCTGTCTTGTTTCTGTCAGCGGCTAATGCATGAAAACCATGGTAGAAGACTAGTTTCAGATTTAGCCTGCATGTTAAACTCTGATTGATTGATCGTATTTCAAATACAACTAAAAAAAGGTTTCTCAGTGAACTTGGTCTTTAAAGGGGCATTATGGAAGTTTGGCGGCCAAAACATGTATAGAAATAATAAATATCTTCTTCATACATTCTCCTGCAATGCCCTGGTCCTGTAGAATGAGCCCTGGCATTTTTACTGTGATTGCTTGTTTTTCTGTAAAATCACAGAAAAAGAGAGATGCTCGGGTCGAGCAGGCTGCTTCATGCGCGTTCACGCTCAGGCATCGCCCGTAGCATTTGCTATCCGTAGCTTTAGCAGCAGAGAGAGAGGCAGTGCCACTTTGTCGCTGTTCCTAACGCCTAGTGACAAAGCTAGCTACATTTCTGAGGACCCTTAGCTACTTTCTGTAGAACTTTCTTCTAGATATTTCCTGCTAATTAGCAACAAAATAGCCATTTTCACTCTGAACCGTTCTTTGAACGTTGTTTCAGCTGTCATCAAGGATATAAATGTTATAGATACAAAAGACATAACTGGTGCTTTAGCTCACCTTGTAAGATGTCGGACTCTCAAGCAGAATATCCGGGTTTGATTCTAGATGTGAACGTAGTTTATTTAGAGTTTATTTTTTACATTAATGGTATATTTTTTAAAGTAAGATGCCCAAATTTTTATTTGAGACTTGCCGAACGGCATTGAATTCACAGATAAAAAAGATGTGGGTTCAACTTTCATTTTGGAACAATTTTTCAAGCAAGGGAAGGGAATGATGTGAGCATGCAGGAGGACTGACCCATCATAAACCTTTGTCGCTGTGCTGAAGAGAAAGCTACAGAACCACATTATTTAATTAATTAGCTGCACGTTCTCCTGTCCTCTGTCCTCCGGGCCACACACACACACACACACACACACGGGACTGTCTCAGCTGTTATTTTCGTTAAGGAGTGTGCACGTACAGCATGCGCGCCTCGTGCACGAGCCTACTATTGAAGCTGCCATGACGCTTTTGGCCTGAGGGGGCAATCGCGAGCATGAAAATTCAAAACTCCGTAAAGTCCCTTTAAGAACATCAATGGGCTTCAGTTACTAAAAGAAAGCAAATAAACTTTTTTCCATAGATGATTATGGTCGGGGGGGGGGGGGGGGGGGGGGGGGGGGGGGGGCACATGTGTGCATCAACCCCGTGGGCATTGTCCAGTATACAAAACGCCTGTCCATGCCAGCTTCTGGGTCTTGCTCCAAATAATCACTTCAATTCAAGTTTATTTATAAAGCGACAAATCACGACAAGAGTCGTCTCAAGGACCTTCACACAGTAAACATTCCAATACAGGTCAGGTCATTATGCCAATCAGTAAAAAGTTTCCTATATAAGGAACCCAGTAAATAATCAGACTGGGACTGCTTCTATAAACACTCCAAACATGAAGGAAAACTGTTTTATATCTGTATGAGTATATGTGACCTATATGTGACCTATATGTGACCTGTATGTGACCTGTATGTGACCTGTATGTGTTTTAGGACTTAAATGCCAAAAATGAGCCATTTCTAACAGTTCCCAATGGTGAAGTTCTGCCCCCCCCCCCCCCAATACAATGATAAATGACCGAGGCAAGGCTGCCAGAGGCAAGGCTGCCGGGCACTGGTGTCATCAGTCTCTCCGACCACCACCAACAGTCAAGGTGGGTTAAGGGACCTGTATGTGACCTTTAAGTGACCTGAATGTCCCAACATGTGCCCTTAGATCTCACTGGCCTCCTAAGGGTTCCAAAGTCTGAGCGTAGGACTAGTAGAGCATGCACTTTTGTGTCGTGCGCCGCTATTGAGGAACAGTTTGTCTGAAGATGTAAGGCAGGCATGCTCTGTGGACGTTTTTACAGCTAAGCTAAAGACACACTTGTTAACCTTAACTTATACACCTTGAATTGCAGACAGATTTTTATTGACTTTTATTGTTGGTTGTTTTATCTATATCTATACTTTAACCTGCACCAATGTGGACACCCTAATGTTTTTATTCTCTGCTGTTCGGCGCTTTGATTGAAAGTCCTTTCTAAATAAACCCAAAAGGACTTCTTTGGTGTCTTTAACCAAGACACCAAAGAAGTC